GGCATTGTTCAGATGTCAGTCCAGACCAAGAATAGTGGATGTGACCGACAGCACAATGTGTTTGCTTTGCCACCTGCTTTCAAAGAAAAGCCCATAAGTAAAGGGCTGTTCTGAATCTTTTGGTGTGTATTTAGCTTGCAACAGAACAGTGTCTCAGACGATGCTCCAAGAGGGAGCTGCCCCAGACAGCTTATACATTAGAAGCAAGGGATCTGAGGATTCGTCTCAACAGAACTATTTGCATTTTGCTGCAAAACAAACAGGGGGTTACTGTTTGACGTGCATTCCCGGAAAAGAAGTCAACTGCAGCCACACAGTATCTCATTGCTCTTTGATTCAGTGTGCGTCAGAGAGACCGTCCGAGTTGGGAATCACATCTGCCAGCTGCTTGGGCAGTTCATGAACTACTGAAGGTGCCCAGATGTTGTAGAAAGTTAACAATACAAATGAAAGGAGGATTGCATACAAACTGCTGCTCCTCTTTCCCATCTCCTCCGCTCTCCCTGGAGGACTGACCTTCACAAGGTCTTTTTTTTTTTTTTTTTTTGCAGCATTTCAGTCTGGTTTTTTATCTCCCAGTTCTCATAAGGCAGCACAGCACTCTGAGCAGACTCTGTTTCCCCATCCTCACTGACAGCTGAGTGTCCCTGAAGTCCTTCAGACACCTAGGCAAGGAGTTTCCAGCAAATGCTGTCAGGACGTGCCTTTATGAGTTAATCTAGGAATTCTTGCCCCACTGTTGAGGTGCAGTTTAATTCCTCTCCTAGATGCAACTCCACAGGTCAGGAAAGTGAAGTTCTAGTTGAATATGGTTGAGTGGTAAGTAGGACACAATAATCTAGGTTTGAATTTAATCGAGGTTTCACAGCTTTTTCAGTGTAATTGAACTCATCCTTCAATAAGCACTACGTGACACACCTCAGCTAATCAATCATGCCATCCCAGCTGCATTGCCTCCCTCGTGCTGCCGAGCTGCTCAGCATTTACTCAGGAGGTAAAACGTTCCCAGCATTGCCTCTTGGGTGCTGGAAGCCTTCCAGCTGGAGCCACGCTGAGCGTGCTACAGGCTGTGCTGTAGCAGGCACGTCTTGCAAATGGAAACAGATTCCCTGACTGGCCTATCTTTAAGATCTGGGCACTTCAGGGCATTATTATTATTTTTTTTTTTCTTGGCTCTTGTTTGCTGTGTTTTGAGACTTACCAGTCATTTTCTTCTTCAAAGTAACATATGGAAATGATTTGAGAACTGCTGCTCAGAGCAAACTTGTTTTGCAATGGGAACCATTTCACACAGCTGTCTGCCCAGTTGATGTGTGGCAGGAGCAAAGAAGGGTTCCGTGCACCATCTTCCAGGGTCCAGGAGGTCTTTATCCCACAGCACAGGACACGACAGGGTTAGAGCAGGAAGCTCAGGTGGTAGCTGTCAGATGGCATGGATTTTGATCATTTGTTCTTTTATGACCTAAATGATTTCTCTTTCATGTGGCAAAGTTACAGATGTTGATACCAGACCTACTTACTTATCCAGAGGCTCAGACTGCTTGGCAAACACAGCACATTGCTGTGCACTGTGGTGAGCACCAATTTTCTCTCCTTGCATACCAGTAAATTGAAGTGTCACACTGAAAGCTGTCAAGTTCATGTATACAATCAACTCCAGAGTTTGGCCTGGGATGTAGGAGCCCCCAAATAGTCTCTTGTTAAGCAGGATTATATTTTTTTCTGCCTTTCTAATCTATGGGTCTTGCTATTAATCACACTGCATCATCTGAGTGGGACATGGTGTGCAGCAGCAATAGACAGTTACTTTCTGTGCTCATTAAAACTTGAACAAAATTACCAGAAGATATGTCCAATGTACACAGCACAAACTCTACCTCTGACATTGCCAGGGTCCACAGTGAGCTCACAAGTTTTCCTTCTCCTGAATTTGATTTCTGCTAGATGTGAGTTTTAGGGCTGTTGGGACTGATGGCTGTTACTCTTGATAGAAGAAACCGTCCTGTATCACCAAAGCTTTTTCATTCCCTATCATCCCTGCACCAAGGTAGTGCACACAGCAGTCACTGGGGCCAAGTGTTGTATGTTGGGCTGTGCTTCTTTGGGTCCTGCTTGTACATTGAAGATGACTCATTTACATCACTTGTGTGATTTAACATGTAGACGTGGGAGGTGGGTGATGTTGAGGAATAAGCTTAGGCTGCTCCAATCAGAGAGTTGTTTGATTCATTTGCTTTCAGTCCCAGTGGCTTATCTGAGATGGTGGTACCTCATGGGCAGAAATGACACTAAGTTGGGATGGTATCATTAGCGAAAATCCCTGCTGTTACAACTACTGTGTGACATTCCACATACCCACAGGCCTTGTCAATTCTGCTGCCACTGAAGAACCTATCAGGAACCTTTTTTCTTCTTCTATACACGCAGCAGGGATAGACTTCTTCTGTGCCCTTATTTCTCACTGTGGCTTATCTTCCCTTCCTCAACCTCCCTGCTCACTGCCCCACTGTCAGACTGCAGTTCTTCATGGAGATATTTTTCCTTGCCTAGTGATCCAGTGACTCTTCAGCCACTTCACTTTCAAGCTGCTCTTATGCTCCTCTAGCACTTCTCATAGCCTCTCCCTGTGCCATCCTGTTCCATCTGCAGTTTTCTTATCCAGCAGCCTTGGCCCAGCCTTCCTTCCTTTTGGCTGGTCTGTTGTGCTGGTCTGCTCTCGTCTGCTTCCTTGGTGAATGCTGCAATGCTTTATGCTCACAGGATAATACTGAGTCAGTACCTCTGTGGTGTTTACAGGGTTGCATGGTGGTAAAAAGTGTAGAAAGCCTTGTCTTTTTTCCTTCCCAGTGACCATTCTCAGCTTCTATTACTGTTGAACACCATGTTGATAAACAGCACCATAAAAATTAAAGTCATAAATTTAGTCTTTGTAAGAACTTCTGGGAAGCTTTGTTAAAAAGCAAACAAATTATCTCTAGGGATAGTTCAGATGCTTTTCACAGACAAATTTATTGGTCTTTTATGAGACCAGGAATACGTAATCCTACATGACTTAACGCAGAATGGAGGTAAACAAAATGCCTAAGAATGACGATGTGCCATTCTCACTCCATCAGTGAAGGAAGTGTGATGACCTTGAAGAGGGCTGCTGGTTTTAATCATGAAAATGGGGCAGCTGACATCTTCATTATGAAGATGAAGCAGAAGTGGCTAACTACATGAGCTGAAGAGCAGAGGAGTGGTCTTACAGCTCCAGGTCCTCCCAGGTACTGGGTAGCCAACTCCTCTAAATTTGCAGGGCCCTCAATATCTTTGTATATTCTGGGCCATGGATTCCCACACATCCACATTGTCTGTCCTTTTAAATCTTGGCTTGGGAGAGCACGTAAAATAGTAACTGCTGTTTGAAGCCAGATGTAGATTTGACATAACTACTGAATCCTGTGAATGATGAACTTGGCCTGTGGCACTTGCCTTTGCTATTTCCTTCCAAAAAGAATAAACTTCAGGCAGTGTTTCTTTCTTGGTTTAAAAATGACAGTAATCAGACTCCTAAAATCCAGTAAGTCCTATCTGCAGCTTTCTGCAAGTCTGTGCAGTGGCACATGATGATTCACAGCCCTGCCTGGGGAGTCGTCTCCCCTCATCCATTCTCAGACTCCGACGGTGTTTACCAGTCTAGGAAAATGAGTGTCCCACCAGGAGGACATGTGATGGTCACCATCACTGAAGTCACTGCTGTGCTAACCCGTGGTTCTTGCTGGTGGGGTTTGAACCGGGACTGACTTCTAGATTTGTCTACAAACCAGATCATTAAATGGTGTGTTAGGACAGCGTCTCTTACAGGATAGGAGACGAAACTGAATCAGAAAAACGATTCAATGGGATTCTTATTAAATGCAATGAGACACAATGAGTGCAGCTCTGTGAAAGCACAGGCTCACCTTCCCCCTCTGCCCCATGGCTTGCTGGCTCCGTCACACTCTTTCTTAGCAGTCTGGGCAGCTCTCCTCTGCTCTTCAGCAGCCACAGCCTCACACAATTGTTTCATGAGAAACTCTAATAGTGTGAACTGAAAGCTGTGGGAACAGTGCTGATGGTAATGCAAGTTATTTACTCTGGAGCGTTCACTATTTAATTAGACAGTTAACGCTGGGGTTTCACTGCAATTCAGACCAGACTAAACGGCAAAGCCTTTTGCTTTTCATTTCTCCCGTCTTTGAAGCGTTAAGAATTAACACATGGATGCATACAAACACATGCTCATGAGAAGCACGATTTAACTTCGCTGTGCAGGCTCACAGCGAAGGATTTGCACACGATTAACAAGAGGAACCTCAGGTTGGCTCCTTTTAAAGCCGTCCTGCTCCCTTCATCACGCTGCCAGGTGAACTCCGACTCAGCAGAGGATCGCACCAAGGTAAAGCCGTACAGCAAACTCGTTTCCTCACGCTGCAGAACGGGTTTCACACACGGAGAGATCTTTGTTCCAGACGGGCCCCATCCCAGGCAGCAGCAGGACCTGGCGGAACAGCACTGCGCATTAACGGGCCCTCACCATTCAGCCCGCGATCAACTCAGCGTTTATTGTTAAACTCAGCGTTTATCGTAAGGCTTTCGGCTTAGTGCCGTAACATCCAGCCCCCCGGCTGCCCCATTATCCCATTAAGCCCCGTGGCGCAGGCCGAAGCGCGTCCCCCCGCGCCGTTCCGAGCGGGATTTCGCTCAACGCGAGCCCTTCACCCGCGCAATCCGCGCGACTCCGCCCCAGCGCCAGGCCGCGCTCGCAGCTCCGCCCGCACTGACACAGCGCTTCCCGCCCACGGGGCGGCCCCAGCCTGACGGCAGGCCCGCTCCCCTCCGCTGAGCGTCTTAAAGGCGCAGCGGCAGCGAACGCCGTATATCCGAGCGTAGCGCAGAACGGCGCTGTCCCTTTAAGGTTACCGCGGCGACGGCTCTGGGTGAGAGCGAGGCGCATTTACGTCACGCCGCGCGCTGATTGGTCGGACCCGTCGGTTTCCGGTGGGAGCCGCTGCCGTCTGTGAGGCCGAGGCGGGGCGGGGGCGCTGAGGGCCCGGCGGAGCCGCCCGCGCCAGGTGAGCGCCGGGTGCGGCCCGTGAGGGACACGGCGGGAACGGCCGCGGGGCGGTGGGGCCGAGCGGGGGAGGCTCGTGGCCTTGGGGGCGGGCCCGGCCGTAGGGAGCGGCCCTGCGGCCGGTACCGAAGCCCAGTTGTTCCCGCGGGCTGTAGGCCCCGCTGCTGAGGCTGCGCTGTGAGGGGCCGCGCGGGGCTCCGCACTGGGAACGGCAGCGTTCAGACGATAAAAGGGAAGAAAAGGAAATCCACGCGGCCGTGGGGTTTGCTCCCAAACCTGCGGGGTGGGACCTGGGGGGGGGGCGGCTGCGGGGCTGTGTGAGCAACGAGCGGCCCCCCCCGCGGCCGCGGTTTCCGTGGGGCTCCTCGTTAGCGCTGACCTTCAGCGCGCTGTTATGGGAGCGAAAGGAGCGGCGGAAGGAAAGGCTTCCTTCAGTCGTTTTGAAGCCGTGCTCAGTGTTTGTGCGGTGTGTAACGCGTCTGCCCGGGGCTGGAACCTGTTGGAAGCGTTTGCGGCTCTGTGTTCGCTCCGTGCTTCCTGTAATCCCAGCGCAATTCCAAGGGGTGCGGTGTTACATCGCCTATTGCTGCCTGTGAAGCACACGGTGTGGCAGCTCGGTGACATGGCATCTCAACATTGCTTTGTCTGAAACCTTTTTTTTCCTTCCCCCCCCCCTTTCTCTTTCTAAAGCTGATCCTGAGATCGACGCTTCTCACTCAGTAGTCCTAAGCTGTTGTAGCTGTCTCTGTGCCAGGTAACTTTCTTTATGTTTCACCAAAAATGCCCTGAGAAATCATTTATTTCCTGTTCCTTTGGCTGTTTTATTAAGAAAAAAAAAAAAAGACTCAACATTGTTTTTACAGACACATGAATATATGTATAAATATACTAATGTAATTTTATAACATGAAAGATAAAAGAGAACGGACTTAAAGCTATTTTTTCAAAGCCTTGCAGCTGGCACTGTGATTTCAAAGTCTCCTTAAAGCCTGACAGTGTGACAGGTATGCCTCAGGGCACCCTCCTGATAATCCACAGAAGAAATATTTGGGGGATTGCAGTGTATTCATGAAGGTAGTTATAAAACAATTTAAATTAGGAGCTTTTTAAAAGAAATGCTTCTAATTCCCTAGTTGCCATTGATGGGCATTTGGTGAGCTGGCTTTAGTTTGACCTTAACACATCTCACTTCCGAATACTTGCAGTGCTTGCCTCTCAGGTTCCCACTTTCTGCCCACTGATCTCCTGATCATCACCACCTGACCCCTGGTTTCAACTGGGATAGAGCTAATCTTCACAGTAGCTGATATGGTGTTATGTTTTGGGTTTGGGAGGAAACCAGTGTTGATAGCACACCAGTGTTATAGCCGTTACTGAGCAGTGCTTATGCTGAGCAAAGGCTGTTTCAGCTTCTCATGCTACCAGGCCACTGAGGGGCTGGGAGGGGACAGAACCAGGACAGCTGCCTCACCTGGTGATGTTCTGTACCACGTGGTGTCATGCTTAGCAATAAAACTGGGGGAGTTGGCTGAAGGGGCAGTTGCTGCTTGGGGACAGACTGGGCATCGTGCAGCAGGTGGTGAGCAATTGCATTGTGCATCACTTGTTTTGTGTTTTTTGTTTGCTTTGTTGTCCCCCCCTTCATTTCTGTTACATTAAACTGTCTTTATCTCAATCCACAAGTTTTACTTTCCCCCACATTCCTCTTCCCCCATCCCAATGGAGAAGGGGGAACAAATAGCTGTGTGGTGCTTCAGCTTAAACCAGAGCACCCCATACAAACCATACAATTCTGTTTATGAAGTGATTCTTAAATCCAGAGAACAAATAGTAGGTTTAATCATCAGAAAGTTTAGATAAAAATCTTCCCTGACATTGAGTCCTCGCAGGGCTTGAATTGTTGAGGTTTTTTCAGCTCAATCAAATACACTTCTTCTGCCTGTGTGTATGGAACACTCAGTTCTTATTTCTTCACAGGTGCTAAGTTCATAGTTTTTTCTTTCACACTTTAGCTTTGTTACTGATCTGAGATATGAAGATGACTTTATCCAGTGATGTCAGTAAGATGATAATGCAGTATGATTTTCCTTGAGGCAGTATAACATGTCAGACTATACTGAGCAGCACCATCTTCTTTTCCACTAGTTCTTTAACCTTCTCTTTCTCTTATTTTCAGCAATGGCAACTTCCAGCAGCAGCAGCAGTGAGGAGGAGCGCAGTCTTCGGGAATGTGAACTTTATGTCCAAAAACACAACATCCAGCAGCTTTTGAAGGATTGCATTGTGCAGCTGTGCACAGTGAGACCTGACCGACCCATGGGATTCCTCAGAGAATATTTTGAAAGATTGGAGAAGGTAAAAATAAGCACTGGGAGAGAAGGAGAGTGGAACAGCTGAAATTTGTACTGCTCAACTTGATTTAGTGGCTGAGCTTCCAGTTTGGCCCATGTTTGTGTTGGCTGTTTGGAAGTGGGCCTGATGCTTTTGGAGAACAAATGGCATTTTCTGTAGTTTTTTTCCTAGTGGCTTGTGGTATGAAAGCACCTCTTGCCTTACTTACCTTGTTGTGACAGAAGTAAACTGGTAGGGAGACTCGTCCACCTGGGATGCACATGGAATCCCAATCTAGTATTTACTCATAGAAGCTGATAGATAGGACACACGATCCTGTCTGTGGTCAGATGGTAACTGTGCTGTGTGACCCTGGTAGCTCCTGGCGATACACATTTGGTTTCTTCTGTTGAGGCAAATTGGTTACAAAGATTCAGGTACAGAACAGCAGCAGGCCAGTGGTAGTTATCCAAGCCTAGCTGAAATCAAATGGAAGCTCTTGTTTTCCTGATTTCTAAGAGAGCAAGCCTGTTCTCCATTATGTTTTGAGCTGAGTGTTACCGTTTTGTTGTGCCTCTCATTTTTCCTGAAGGTCTCTTTCTGTGATCTTGGGAATGAAAAGAGTTTTCATTTCAGTGCTCGTATTTGAATCAGTTTAACATCAATTTGAACAGTTTGTTGAATATAATAATATCTTAAGCTGATAGAAAATAATATGGTGTGAAAACCTGAGTTTTTGAAGGCTAATGCAGAAGAAAGATTAGCTATAACCACTGTACTCAGCACAGCTCGTTAGTAATTAATGTAGCTGTTTCCTTGGACAGCAGTCACTTGCAGGTGCTGCAATCCATCTTAAATGGGAACTGTACCTTTGTCCTTTTTTTTTTTTAATTCTAGGTAGTTATTAATTGTTGAAATAAATAATAATGCTATAGAAAGTGTAGGTATGGGTAGTAGAAATAGTCTTCTAATGGAAGTGCTTGTGATAGATACTAGAAGATGCTCGTATGTTGCAGACGTACCTCCTGTAGCTTGCTATGTGCTTGAGGAGCAATTTGCTTGTAAAATGCACAAGAACTCTGTAGTATTCCTTATTGTGTGGTAACATCTTGAACATGTTTCTTTTCAGAATCCCAGCAGCAGCCCAGATTGCAATCAGGTTCCTAAGAATCCTTAGTCCCCACCTTTTACTATGCCAGCTTTCCTGCCTTGTATTCTTGGGTTTCTAATACTGATACATTGTACAGTTTGGTGTATCAATGCTTGTGGTAACATTGCTTTAAAAACTATCAAAACTGTTATACTGCAGATAAGAGGTAGAACTTAGAATAAGCCGTAAGCAAAGACATGAAGGGACATAAAACAAGCATTTCAATTCTCTTCTGCAGCGGACTGATGTTCAGTGTGCAATAATTAGTTTTAAAGATAGCTTGTCTTTAAGGTCAGAGCTTGCCATCTCTCTCATCATGTGTATTTTGGAGATGAACAACTTTTTTTTTTCTGGTGCAAATAGGCTGTCCATGCACTCCATCAGCCTACAAGGAGGCTGAAAATAAAACTGGTTAGATAATGGTTTTCCCCTAAGATTACTCTTAAAGTTTTGTTTAAGGCCTTTTGTTACAAATAGTTTTGGCATGGGTTATATGTGCCAACTCATGCAGTTATAGCTGCCAGTGGAACTGTAGCCTCCTTATATTATTGAATATAAAAATTGCTACGTCTTTCTTGAGGTAGTTTCATAGTTCCGATAACATTAGCTGTGCTACTGTTACTAACCAGCTCTAACCTGGTACTTAGCTCCAGTCCAGCAAAAATGTTTGAAACAACATGTCTTCCAGGAGTGACATCTGCTCTGTTTTCATAAGGATAGAACAAGTTTCCCATCTACTTCTAAAATGTTACACTGAATGAAACTGAGGTTGAGACAGAGGTTTTTTTTTTAAGCTTTGATTGAGACTGAGTTCTGGAGGAACATCATTTAAAAATGAAGTGTGGGTTCTATTTTCTCTCCTGACAAGTCATCTCTTCCACCGAGCTGATTCACAGTCATGTTACTCACATACATTGAAGATGTTTAAACTTGCTGTTGAATTATTGCTCAGAAATATTAAAATTACTGCCTCTGAAGTAGTTACAATAGGAATTCACGTGTCCTTTTCAGCTATGAAAGCTTTCATGTGAATTTTATCACTACACTCAGATAAAATAACATTTATACAATCAGTTTGTGGTGCACTATGGCTTCTGTTGGTTTTGCTTTGCAAACAGGGCTGATAACAGAAGTGCACGCTGACAGCTGGTAGCTACCTGGTGCTGAGCTTGGCTGGGTTCTGTAGTTGAAGCTGTGGAAACTTAATACAGGGATTGGTATTGCAGCCTGCCAGGTGGATTTGCAGCACGTGTGTTGGGCTTTGTGCAAAACTGAAATTAGGAAGCTGAAGATTGTTGTCTAAGTACTGTACCTGTTCCCCATCACCTGGCCTGCCTCTACAAATGCATACCTAAATATCCTTCAAGTTTAAGTGACATGTTTTCGGGGAAGAAAAGGGTGGTGGAGAGCTGATATAAATTAAATACAAGTTAACCAGAAGAAATCGACTATTTCTGGAGTAATGTGGATGCCCCATCCCTGGAGGCATTCAAGGCCAGGCTGGATGTGGCTCTGGGCAGCCTGGTCTGGTGGTTGGAAACCCTGCATGTAGCAGGGGGTTGAAACTGCGTGATCATTGTGGTCCTTTTCAACTCAGGTCATTCAATGATTCTAATGACAACTACCAGATACTAGAGTGTATAGTGCACAAAATAATTCTGAAATCATAGTGGTCTTCGGTAGCTGAAAGAATTCAAACATGATGATGAGAAGCTCATTGTCTTAATGTTTTTTTTCTCATAAGTAATAATGCAAATGGACTTAAAAATGATTTCTTATCTGTCAGGAACAATGGAATGTACAGTTGTGGTCACTGACAATAAAATCTTTGTGTGAGCTGCTCTGTCAGCTAAGAGGTCAGGTTGAACATTTGGATGCAATAAGTAGGCTGGCTTTAGTAATAAACCTTTTAAGAATCCATGTTGTGGTTACAGATTATTTTCTTCAATATTTGCTTTAATTTTAAGAGCTTCTAAACTTGAACAAATACATTACCTCCCTCTGGTTAGATTCTAAGGTACCGGAAAGGAGCAGCTGTGACTTTTTGATCAGGGCCTGGTGCAACTTATCTCCAATCTAATGGTGTAATATAACACAGTTCAGTATAGGAATGATATAAGGTATATTTTAAAAATGTGAATGCATGGAAGGCTTCTGTAATGGAACCAGTGAGATTCCAGTGTGTCCCTTACTAATGGCACAGAGCTGTCTTGCAGTAATGTGGATGTGGTGATTTGTCTCATTAGGGGCAATCCTCTCCGTAGGTGTTTCAGCAGAATGTCCAGACTAGCTGAAACACTTGAATATTTTATCTTAGCCATGTGTAACCTCTGCATGTCCACGTGTCCTTGTTTTTAATGTAACAGCATTAGGTCTCAGAGCAGGCAGAAGTCAGCAGTTACATTTTCTCTCTGAGTGCAGTACTGTGATGTGCAGCTTCCTTGCTCAGTGCTGCTGAAGTGCTTCTGCCTCTGGCATTTGCAGGGTTTCAGTGTCTGTGTATCCTATGTGATACTGGAAAAGTCACAGCAGGTGATGTTTGCTTTCTAAATAAGTGCCAAGGCTTTAAATATTCCTTGCCCCAGCAGTTGGAAATGTGGCACTATTTTGTTAATGAACACAAAGCAGGAAGCGCGGGGCGATTTGACGGATCGGTGCTCTTTGGTTATCTGAGAAGTATAAAATGTAAACTCACTGTAATGTTTAGCTGAGGTCCCTTTCCTCAAAGTGGTGGAGTTACACGTAGCCTCTGTGTACCTCCGGAGTGGGTTGTGGCAGCCAAGCTGCCTGACTGAGCTGGGGTGGACGGCTTTATCAAGGGCATGGGGACAAGCCTGGCTTTTATGTGCCTGGAGTCCTCAGAGAACAGATGACTCCTTGTTCTGTTAAAACATGTCCCCAAACCCTCTTTCCTTATGGCAGGGAGAAAGTCATTTGAGCTATTATGACTCAAATGTTTTGGCAGTGAGGTTAGCTTTTTTAAATACATATCTTAGTTAAGTAAGGTGAATCTTCTGGTATGTGAAAGGATCAAACCCCTGTGCATTTATGTGGCTAGAATTCACTTTATTCCAAGTGTGCTGGCTTTCCCCAGTATGAGCACAACACAACCCAGGAAACAGCTGTGGGAAATAAGGAACATGTCTAGCATTGTACACAGCTGACAGATCTGTGGTTTGAGGGAAGATACTGTTTGGCCTTTAGCATCCTTTCTGCACCTCTTCTGTAAGCTGCATTTGTGTTTCTTTCTCCTAAAATAACCCATGGTTACAAAGCATCGAGTTGGTCCATGACTTCACCTTGTTTCAAAAGCTTCTCTTATAACAGGGATTTCAGAGGAGTTGTTTTTCTGTCCTTCAAAGGAATAAAAGGCTTAACACTCTGCGGCTCAGGGAATGAACTGCTGTGTGCACTCTTGGGAAAATGGCTTTTTCTTTTGCAGGTTTTTTTCATTGCTTATTGAATATGTTAGTGGAAAGTAGAGTCAAATTGTTTGTGCTTCTCAAGTTAATTAACTGTTAGTATAATTTGTTAAAATAAACACCATTGTGATGTGAATGTTAGGAAAGGCTTATCTTCTGTCTACTTCAGTAAGGCATTTGATCATGCTAGCTGTAATCTCCTGCTTGCCTTAATGTGAGAGTAATAGGACACAGGAAGCTCCCTTTCACTGGCGGGCTAAATTGAAATATGATATGTAACTGCTTTTTTCCTTTACTGGATTATGTGACACAAATATCTCTTCTTTCCTGTTTAGGAGGAAACAAAACAGTTGTTAAACCAACAGAAGTCTGGTTCACGCTCAGACTCACGGGAGGATGAAATCTCTCCTCCTCCTCCTATGAACCCTGTGGTCAAGGGTCGAAGAAGACGTGGGGCCATCAGTGCAGAAGTCTATACAGAGGAGGATGCTGCATCTTATGTTAGAAAGGTGCTCTAATTTTTTTCCTTTAATGTTGCCAAGAGTTGCACATTCAATCAGACTACTATCTAAGACTACTTAATATCCAGTATATTAAGTAACACTAAGCCTGTAGCCTGTTATGTAGTGTGATAACAGTAAAATTCAGACTTGTGTGGATAGCTCTTCAGTTTGTCATGCAGATAAACCATTTTTACACAGTTTTGATCTTTTCCTCTGAAGTAGTGTGTGTGTATATATATATTCACACGCACATATTTATATGTATTTGTAATACATGCACACAGAGTGCTTCTAGCAGCTGCAGCAGTATTAGGTTTAGCCCAGAGGCAGAACTGCTATTCTTAGGGAAATAAGTTGAACACATACTTGCAATTGTGAAAAGAAACTACAAACTTAACATGGAATTATGTTCTTACAGTTACATAGAATCAATGTTTTATTTACCTTCTGTATAAACTAGCTGTAAATGTTGACTGTATTTGTTTCTTAGATCTAGAGTGCTTGAAAGAATTGGAAAGACTCAGGATCTGTAGCAATTTGAGTGATTTGTTAGTCCTGGATAGTGCAGAAAATTTTCTTTTGAAATCGAGTCAGTTACTTTTTCTGATTTTTTTTTTTTATCCTAGGTTATTCCAAAAGATTATAAAACTATGGCTGCATTGGCAAAAGCTATTGAGAAGAATGTGCTGTTTGCCCATCTTGATGATAATGAGAGAAGGTAGGAATAAATCTTTGAAGTCTTAAAAGTATAGTAAAATGCAAAGGTAGAAGTTACAACTTGCATCTAACTTTGCATTTTGTAGTAAAATACAAAGTTGCCTAGCCTGTTTACAACAGTCAGTGTAACCATAAAGAGATGACTGGAAAAGTTGGTTGGTTGAGATTGGAGATGTACGAATGCATGCACAGTATCACAGAATAGTTGGAGTTGGAAGGGACCTTTAAGATCATCTAGTTCCAACACTGCAGCAGGGGCACCTTCCACTAGATTAAGTTGCTGTGTGTGTTGCAGTTGTCTAATTTTGGTATCCTTCTTTCAGTGACATCTTTGATGCAATGTTCCCCGTCACTTACATTGCAGGCGAGACTGTCATACAGCAAGGCAAGTGACAGTGCTTACATTGATAAATGTTTGAGATGGTGGGCAGGCTCTTGTTAGTGTGCTGCTTTGGAAGAAAAAACCCTCTCTGGATGCAGTGACCCTTTCTTGTCATGTTAACTGAAGTACAGCTCGTGCTCTAAAGTAAGGAGTGGAGGAGTTGTGGGAATATTGTGTTTCATCAGATGTTATCTGTTGGAAAGATTGTGATTTAATGACTCTGTAGAATACTTCATGACAATTTTTGGATCCAATATGCCTTTCCATCGTTCTTAGAAATGTGGCTGATGTACTGCATACCAGTAGCTGTCCTTTTTCACAGGACTGAGAGTGTGAAATGAACAAAATGTGGTATTTCACCCTCCCAGCTGTGCAAAATGTCTCTGCCAACCTCATTACATTCTGCACTTGAAAGCTGGCAGACATGCTGGGTTTGTAGAAGTATATTTGCCTAGCTTTACCTTTTTTTTTGGTGTATTTAATTTTTGATTTTTTTCTTTTTTTAGGTGATGAAGGTGATAACTTCTATGTTGTTGATCAAGGAGAAATGGATGTAAGCATTATTGGTAGTTTATTAATGATGCATTCACTTCTAGCACAAGAGTAGCATGGTGTTCATAGGCCCCTCTTACATGTCTTTATCAACTTTTCTCTTAAGAAGTTTGAACTTGTAGAAGCTAATTTTGCTTTGGAGCTGTTTTGCTCTTTATTGATTCTTCAATCTGACTGCAGAGACTATGAATTGTGTTTAAGATAAATTATTCAGATGTTAATAAAGTACTAATACTTACCTAGATTCTAAACTTGTGAAGGTGTGGGACAGGCTTTAAGAATGACAGCCCTTTTTATTTTCTAATCCAAATCATCCATAGCTTTCTATGCAATTTTATGACAGCTTCTTGAAAGTCCTTTCAAGTCCCTTGTGTTTCATTGAGGCTTGTTGAGATTTCATTTCCTACCCAAAGGTCTTTGGGTCTGCATCTCTAATCTCTGTGCACATGATGTGGGCAGCAGACTCTGTCAGTGGAAATAAAGCTTGTGATGGGGTTTGGGGTTGGGTGTGAAGTGTTAGTCAAAGTGGATTATTTCAGGATTTCACTATGTAGAGGTGAGAATTTCCCTACATTATAAAGGAAATACAGGGTAGTGGGAGCATCACATCACTTTCTTTGACCAGCATTCCAGACACTGTGTGCTTTGGCTTTCAGGTTTATGTGAACAATGAGTGGGCAACCAGTGTTGGTGAAGGTGGAAGCTTTGGAGAGCTTGCCCTTATATATGGAACTCCTCGTGCAGCAACTGTCAAAGCGAAGACAAATGTGAAGTTGTGGGGCATTGACAGAGATAGCTACAGAAGGATCTTGATGGCAAGTATTTGTCTAGCTGGTGTGTGGTTTACACCAGTGACTCAAGTAGCTGTCTACTAACCTGCAGTTACGCTTTTGCTTTTACCCTTCAGTCAACTTCTGTTGGTTACTTGACCTTCTGTCTGTGCTTGTGTTTTTGTTGGAGTTGTTTATACAAAATCCTGTTTTATGTCTTGTGCAATCAGAGAACTTATCATTCAGGATGTACTTATCAGGAATGGGGCAGGGGGAATCTTGCTTTAGTGAAGAAATCGATTCCTGTGCTACCTATGAGGTGTAGCTCTCTGGATTGAAAATATACCACCTCCTGGTTAAATTGTCACTTAGTCTTTTGTGGGCTTGGGCTGTGTGGGATGGGATGTCACATATCAGGTGAAGCTGTATATTTTTATATTGAATTTCATTTGAAGTTGATATCAAATGAGAACTAGACAAAAAAAAAACACCTTTTTTTGTGGTTTCATTTTGTGCTTTTTCTTTTTTTTTCGTAGGGGAGTACTTTAAGAAAGAGAAAGATGTATGAGGAATTCCTTAGTAAAGTGTCTATATTGGGTAAGTACGAAAATATTGTTCCGAAGTGGAATAAATTGCCATATTACCATTAAGCTGTTACTCAGCATTATTATGATTACAGGCTATTGTGGTAATGTGTTAAACAGACTGCAAAGTCTGTATTGCTGTTCTGCATCATTCAGAAATAATTGTAATTGAAGTCTTGATATGCAGTGCCCAACTGCAGCTGTAAATATGCTGTCTTGTCTTTGTCTGTAAGGATGGAGGAAAGAGTGTGGTTTGTACTTCGAAAAGACAACCTATTAATGAACACTTAACTCTCTAGAATCTCTGGACAAGTGGGAGCGCCTTACTGTAGCTGATGCATTAGAACCGGTACAGTTTGAGGATGGGCAAAAGATTGTGGTCCAGGGAGAGCCAGGAGATGAGTTCTTCATTATCTTGGAGGTAAGCAGGACTAAAATCAAAACCTTGTAAGTTTGTCTATGTTTTTAACATTGTTTATTCTGCCCCTAAATAGGTACTCAGAGAAAAATGAAATGTTGGAATGTACTTCTAGAGAATTCCTCATGAGATATAATCTTGCTGGGCATGCAAAAGCTTATATTTAGTTTTGCTATTTTTATAAATGGTAATTCCAGGAAAAAAAAACTGTTTCTGGCTTAAACTGTTTATCCTGTTTGGGAGAGTAAAGACACATGTTACTAGATTGCTAGTAATATCCTGCTAGTGGTATTGTTATCTTCTCCTTTTGCAATCTGTACTGTAATATTGGTGCAAGAAAAATGGGAAGAGATCAGTGCTGCAGAAAGTAAATACCCAAGATGATTTAAGCTTAAAGAAGAAGGAAGGTCAGTTGTTCTTATGGAGCAATCCGTGAACTATGCATGAACTGTGTTTTTTAAAGACTGACATCGTAACAGTTATTTCTGCAAAGCAACTGATTCTGGAATTCAGTAATTGAAGTGATAGCAGAAATTCCAATTGTCTAATTTCTGTGGTTCATTAAAGGGCACAGCTGCAGTGTTACAACGTCGATCAGAAAATGAAGAATTTGTTGAAGTGGGAAGACTGGCACCTTCTGATTATTTTGGTAAGTTTTGTAGTGACAACAGTGGTGCCATATACCACTGTCAGTGTTTAACTTGTGGTGATGACTGCTGTGGGTGACAGTGATGGGATGAATTTGCTTAGTCACTGTTTTGTCTGATTCATGTGGTTCACTCAGTGTCAGTCACTTAACAGGCATGCACACCTGAATGTCATAGAAAAGTGGTAGTTGTAGAATGTTGCTATTTGGAAGGATGATGATTTGGTCTGACTTCCCTACAGCAATTTGTGTCCAGGGATGGAAATCCCACTGTCTCACTTAAAGCCTTCCCCTGTGAAGATGAAACAGACCAGTTCCTCCAGCAACTCTCTGTACAGCCTGTGCTGCAGTCCCATAACCATCTGCGTGGCACTGCTGGACTTGTTTCATGCCAGCATCCTGCACTGGGAAGCTTAAGACTGGGCGCAGTACTTGGTGCAAATCAGGGTCTCTTCTGCCTTCTGTTGAAGGTATTTTTATTAAGCTAAAAGTTACATGATAGAGAAACTGCTTTGGCTTGAAAAAGCCTATATGTGCTAGCAAAAAAAATAAAAAAAAAAAAGCTAAGTTCCTAATGCACACTGATCTATTTGATCACAAGTAAGGACTGGACATGTATGCTCACAGGGCATTCTTGGAGAATAATGTAACGGTGTATAACAGGATATTCCTGTCTGCCTCATTTTAGGTTCAGAAGAACAATGCCTTGAAGCTCTCAAGCAAAGCTTCTTCAAAAGAGAATTAATCTTTTCCCACCCCTTCAAATCTGTTGAGAACCAACTATTTAATATTTTAAAACTTCCCTCTTTCAGAAAACAAAAAGGCTAATTTTTTCTTCCTTCAGATTTAAAATGTCCTCTCATTATCTTTTTGAGCTGTCCTCTTGCAAAAGTCTTCTGGTTGTCTGTTCAGTGTTTGTAGGTGATGTAATCAACAAATACTCTATTTCAAGGTCTGAAGGGGGCTGTGCTCAGGAGTGCCCTGGTAGTGTTCAACCTGGCCAGAGGTTTGCTTAGCTGAGTACCTGGTGCTAGATGTTTGTTCTACCTACGTCAAACGTTGGTCTCTTCCAGTCTTTCCCTTGATATGTATATCCTTGAATTTCCTACTGCTACACTGAATGTTATCCTGTTGTTGTGTTCAGGTGTTGCAGAGCTGTCCCTGAGGCTTTAAGCCTCCCTTAGAACCTACTTACTCCTTTTGCAAGCCTGTGTTTTGGAGGCTGACAGGTTTGAGGTTTTAATTGGCACCGAGGAAGTTTTCTACTTTCTTTTGAACATCCCTTCTGGTAATACAGGCAGATTTATTCTCTGAGGATCCCTGCATTCTTTCCTTAGTCCTGAACATGAGTGTAACCTGTTCAACTGCTTAAAAACAAATCAACCCAAAAGTTGATGCGGTGACTTCATGCTCATTGCTAGGATTGTTAGGCATAGCTGTTACCACCAAAGGGAACAATGGCTTGAAGAAAACTTAATTTCAAAATATGTTGTTCAGCAGTTGTTTCAAATGCATGTTACAAAGTTTTTGACGTGCTTGTGTGTAACTTATGAAGTGGGAATCCCAGACTTGAGATCCTCATTCTACCACCCAATGGCAAGGTAGGGTTCTTAATTCTGGCTAGGTATTGGTCAAAAGCTTCTGTCTTGTGCACTGAGGTTATTATTTGAATAATAATGGTCTTGTCTCGAGCGTCATAGAAGTTTGAATTGATCAGCAAAATGTCTTACATATTAGAAAAATGGCTGCTTGCTAAGGAAAGTTACATAGTTAACTGAGATGCGACCCTTTTTGAAATAGGGAAAATACTGAAACAGATTTCTGAATAATTAAAAAAAAGAATAGCACATAAAGCTGTTTTTTTTTTTATGCTGGCTGTACTATTGCTTGTAATATACCTGCATAAACATTAATTCTGATAAATGTTAAGACCTGAATTAACTTTGGTTCAATTCCTGCAGCGGTTTGAAATACAGCGGGGTGACGTGTGACTCTTTGCACCTTGATTTGTAACGCTGTTCCTGTTCTCCCGTTGCTCTAGGTGAAATAGCTCTGTTGATGAACCGTCCCCGTGCTGCCACAGTTGTTGCTCGTGGCCTGTTGAAATGTGTAAAGCTTGATCGACCCCGATTTGAACGTGTCCTGGGTCCGTGCTCAGATATTCTCAAGCGAAACATCCAGCAGTACAACAGTTTTGTATCGCTGTCTGTCTGAAGCCTTCCTCCCTCTCAGCAACATGCTTCACGAACGCAGACTGCTTTATTACCCTTGTGCAGAGCCACATGGCCACTGGCATTTGCAGCTTTCTGTCTGTTTAAAAAAAAAAAAAAAAGCTTTTCATAGTACTATTTTTAATTTAGAGCATATTAGTTCTGTGCTCTCTGTCCCATTAAATACATAGGAAAAAGTTCTATGGACATGTTTGCTGTTACAGCTTCTCTCTGTGCAACTGTGTCCAACTCGGGCAAATACAGCAAACACAGCCTTGCTTTACTGAAGGAGAGATCTCCAGGCACTGTGCCAATTGCCATAGAATAAGGAGGTAAAAGGGTGTGGGGGGGAATTTCAAGGTGTTTCTTAAATCATTGGACAGACTTTAAGGCTGTAGTCCTAACCTGCTGTATTTCTTTCCAAATGAGAATTGCCCATGTAACTGAGCTTCTTGGGGCTTGGGGTTTTCTTTATAATTTTCTGGGTACTGTAATCCTGGGTTCAATCGTGAGGCATCAGCTGCTAAGAAAGCCACAGTTGGAATTTAACAGTTTAATTGTTCCTGTGTTTGCTGGTTTAAGGTTGCTTATGTTGTCAAGTGTAAATCAAAGCTTTCAAGGTTAATAGTTCCGGTGAACTACTGCAGTTGTTACTTAATTTGCTGATTTGCCGCAACTGATTCTTTCCTTGTTCTTTCTTCAGTGATAGATTGCCCTGAACTTCCTGTTCAAAGTGGCAAGAACCAAATGTTCCATACAATCCCTAACTTTGGGCTCAAGTACATGGGCATAGGGATGGTGCAGCCGCCAGGTGTTAGTCATGCACAGGTACTACACTGGTGCAGAAATTGGAAGCAAACTTCTCATTTCCCTTGCGTGCTTTGTATTCCCCAGTTGACTTTTTTTTTTTTTAAATGCTCATCAGTTCACGTGTCCCTTTGATTCCAGGGAAATTTAAACTTTGAAGTATTGATGGGCAGCATTAGTTGCAGGGTGCTGGCCCATAGAGATGCCATTATGCTTAGTGGAGACTGCAAGGCAGGAAACGTGCCTCGCTTTAATGTTTTAATTTTCCTGCAACACTCATTTTAACTATGTTTGTTTTTAAAGCAACTCATAATTTTAAAAAAGGATAATTAGGAGTCTAGTTTAAATACAAAAGGCTTATTCTCTTTCCATACTTACCCGATTGACACGACGCATTTCATACACTTTTTTTTTCCTCCCAAGTTCAATATGTTGTGGAGTCTTAAACGTATTTCAGTATTTTCCAGCTTTGTGTTGCATCGTTCTGTGTGCACCAATACTTCCCAGAGGTTTGTACTGAATTCCACGGTTCAATAATGGTAGGCAATTTTTAAGGTTTCGTTTAACCTGTAATTTATATCCAGTAGTGTAGGTTTGTATTTGGGAGTGACAGCAAGCGGTTTTGCGTTTATGGGGCAACTGCTTCTCAAGATGGAGCCCTCATTTAATTTCCTTTCCGAGATGATATGGATTCAAATCCAACAGGCTTTCTCCCAGGCGTGTCAAGAAGAGCCTGCTAATTGATGCAAAGTAATTTTGAGGGTGTCGGGCTTTTACAAAAGGGTATTTCCAAACCTGAAATCCCAGTGGTGGGATTTAAACGCTCATGGTTTGAGTTCTGTCTTCACAAGAAATTGAGAAGACTGCTTCTGCCGGAGTCCTTAAGGAGTAAGCAAATGCTACTTTTATTTTTTAATTTTTTTTTGTAAAACTGTTTTCTTCAGTTTTGGATCTATCCAGGTTTTTCCTTCATTCTGTGTTCATGTTACTTTAAAGCACCAAAAACTGTGTAAACTAGTTAGAGCTCCACACAAAAGTGCACATTTTTTTATATAAGGCTTTCTAATCAAGTTTCACTACTGCATCTTTTTAGCTTGCTGTTTACTCCCTTTTGTAGTTTTACCTACAAGATTTTAAGATAAATCAGCTAAGTCTGAGTTAAATATTAATCACAGTTGTAGCTTTACCTTTGTGTGCAATTTAAATATGTTTGAAACCACAATTGGCATAGTTTTGCCTTAGTTAACATTTGGGGCTTTAGAAGTAATTTTTGCTAGTCCACCTTTAGCGAATTTATAAAGTCTATTGCCCTAGAAAGCTATAGTCAACCAGAGGACCATTTTTGTATTGTTACCTGACTATATAAGTCTGATTTACTGTATGTGCTAATATATTATATTATATTCCTTTTGTTATAGATTGTCCTAATGGCAGGTAAAGCAATAAAATGATTTAAATTCTTAAATGCAATCAGTCTCTTTTTTTCCCACCCCTATGTTTTATGTTTTCCTTCACCTTCAGAGGATGAATTGCCAATAAACTGGTGGTAAATGAAGAAACTTAAGGACTCTGCAAACTGTGGAGGTTTGAGTTCCAGTCCTTGATCATAGCACAGCTGAGCCTTCCCCTCTGGGACTGAGTGTGTCATGTGCACAAAAAATCACCAGTAGAGGGAGATGCAACTTTGGGAATAGAACATCCCATACTGGAACAACTGCAGGTGGTGCATGCTGAGAGTGAGTTAAATCCTTTCGTTTTAATCTATTATCTGCTCACAAGAGTACATGGGAGAAAAAAGAAAAGGCCTGTAAGCCTGCTGCTGTTGAGAATTCTGTTTGATTGAGGCTATCTAAAATGTGCTTAGGTGAAAGCTGGAAGTGGAAGGACGTGGCTGAATCAAGATGGACTGAAGGAGCCTGCTGGGCTGGGTTTTTTGTCTGCTCTTTGGTTTTGTGCATTAGATCTTTTCCTGACCTTTGTGGCTACAAAATATTGGGCTCTCTGTGTTAAGCAGAAACACTCCCAACTTCCTCAAACACGAATAGAACAGCACCTGTGGGGACATACAAAATTGTACCTACAATCTCTTCAGTAGCTTTACAGAGTGAAGACAGGCAACCAGTTGAACACTTGTTCTGGGGTTGGACTGAGCTTCACTACAGTTCCCTATGAAAAACAGCAGTGCTGGCCAAACCAGCTCTGTTACTTCCCTGCACAGTGCAGGCCAGCGTCACCCAGTGCTCGTTAGGCTGGGCAGAATTCCAACCTAAAAAGAAAATGTGGTAGGTGATGCAGCTTGCTGTGAGCTTGAGCAGCCTGCAGCACTGCTGATGGCTTTTGTTTAACTGAAAGGTTAGTTTAGAATGAACTTCTAGTAGACTGATTGTTTTTTTCTTTAAGGATGATAAATGATCAACAAAATTCTCAACTACTTTCCCTAGGCTGCCAAGAAGCTCAGTATAATCATTCCTGAACAGTTGAAGCAAAAAGCTATTAAGGAGCTGCAGTAATCAAACCATGCTTAAGCCTTGCCCTTGGGAGGCAAAAGAAAGCTTACAAATTGAAAGATCCCTGATAACTCCTTCTCTACTCTTTTTTGGTCTTCAGTTCCTATTGCTTCTCCTCAAAATACATGGAGATAAGGGGAGGAGGAGGAGCCATTTCTGTTTTCCAGGAAATTCTGATAGCTTGAGTGACTTTAAAGCAAGATGATGATGCAAGATGGAGCCCCTCACCTCAGCAAATATTTTGACCAGAAGTGGGTGACTTCTAGGATTGTAAATACAGTCCTATGTCTTTGAGTAGTTGTATCTAAAATATATATTCCTGGTTTTCTGTTATAACTCAGCCTGGTTCTTCCACCCCCAAGGCAGGTGAAAATAGAAGTGATCTAACTGCCCTGGAAGCCAATGGGCTTTTGGGCAGCGTGCACAGATTGAAGTGGATTGGGCTGGTTGTTTTCTGTGCAGAGAACCAGGGGCAGAGGTTCTGTCTGCTGGTGGGTACTGTGCAGAGATGCTCCAGTCTGACTGCATGAACCAGTGTGTCACCTTGTCTCAGAGTAAGGTTACTCCTTTCTCACATGAAGTCTTGATTACAGAACGCAGACTTAGTAAGAGGAGAATATTCGTGGCATCTCTTTATTCAAGCCTCATCCTTGGATCTAGCTTGTGTCCATCATAGCAAGACCAAGCTCCTGAGCAAGCTCTGGAGGCTGTATGTGTTCCTGTCACCCACAAGGCATGCTCAGCTGCAAACCAGATCTCTGCTTTCCCACAGAGCTGGTGCTTGGGGTGCAAAGACCTGCTACAGCCACACCACGCTGAGCCCCGCAGCTTTGCTTGAGTGCTCAGCCTGGGAACCTGCTGTGATCCCTGAAGGTCTTCCAGAGTTTCCCCTTTCCATCTCGTGGGCACTTGTAGATAGAAATGACCAACTGTTAACACTTGTCCCTGGTCTCGCAGGGGTCTCCCCTGCTTCTGAGCAGGAGCTGAGGGTTGTTTATGTGCTCAGCTTCACTCTGTTGGATGTGGGAGCCTCGGGCTGCCTGGTGTCATTGGCCACCACCTTGGCTTCTCCATGTGTGTCTATGCACTTCCTCACGGCTTTCAGGATGAGCTGTAACCGTCGGTCCAAGGCCAGGAGATGGGGCTCAGTGAGCACAGGTGCCAGGGGATCCTGCAGGAGGGATTCTCTCATCACAGCACTCAGCTGGTACTCAGGCTCAGCCAGCAGCTGCAGGCGCAGCAGCGTCGTCCGCTTTATTCTGGAAGAGAAAGAGATCAGACATCCCAGTGCCAACACTTCACAGCACCCCAGCAAGGGGCAGTTGTCTGAGCCCTCTGCTGAGGGAGGGAAGATACAACTCCAAATAACAATGGAACAAAAAGCTCTTACTGAAGTAAATGGAAATCTCTGCAGAAACCTCTGGTTCTTACTTATTTTTCAGGCTACAGAGTGCTCATACAGCAGATTTTTGTCTTCACAGAGAAAAGAATGTTAGAAATCCTCAGCAATGAACATTCTTCCTCTGAGTCAGATGTGACCTAGTTCCCCAGATGATTGCAGGGCAGTGCCACGGTACCAGAAATGACATTTATGGGGCAGAGGGAGAGATAAAATGAAGCGGCGTATCTTATCTGGTGATGAATGAGGAAAAATCTCTCTAAACTGAGCAAAAAGAGAGCATTTCCCAGACCTGATCTGACACTGTGCCTGAAGAGGCAATGAAGATGAAGTATTTCCCTTTGACAGAAGGGAGGATGAAAAGCTATAATCTTGGCATGCTTTGGGGAATGACACTAGGTATTCTAACATGATTTGTTTAATGCTCAGCAGAAGTATTTTGATTTCAGAGTCTCTATTACTGAAATGGACCAGTGATCTTAACCACTGCCTTTTAAATTTTGGAAAGATGGCAGCCTGTGTTTGTGGAACCATGCTGACTTAGCCAGAATTTCCATGTGGAGAAAGTTATAATAGGAGAGGAGCAATCTTCACTAGACGAGACAAGGACTGGAACAGGAGCTGTGAAAGGTGGGTCAGAACACTAGGAGGCTGCAGGAAGCAGAGCTTGGAGGATTCCAAGCCTTTCTGGATGCTCTCTGGCTCCAAATGGGACTGCTGTAGGAAATGAAGCTTTGGGTGGCTCTGTAGTGAGTACAAGTCATTTTCAAGTTGCAGTTCTTGCCCATAGCTGGCTCATTAAAGGTGTGATTTGCAGCTCATCCTACCTAAATTAAGAGCAGCTTCTGGGAGGTCGATCTGAATGAGCAGGAAGGATGTGACCTGCAGATAGTACTGCTAGGTCAAAGAGTTCATGTGAACTGCACAAAATAGGAGCTTGGCAGAAGGAGTCACTGTGAGCTGTGAGCAATTATAAATGGAAAGTCTCACTTGGTGCAAACAGCAGTTCTTAAAATTAGATCCGGTAATACGAATATATGGGGAGAGTGCAATTAGCACCCCAAGGCTTACATGGAGCAGGTACAGCAAGGAAATAGATTAGGGATCTCCTAAAGAGAAACCACAGGGAGGAGCAGCTTTTCTTCCTCTTTCTCTTTAATTTAACTTTCAGCTGTTGATTTATGTGGATTAATAAAGGAGTGGCCAAGATAGGATTCAAATGGTAAAACTGATGAGCTTCTCCTTGATGTTGTGAGAAGAAACCTGATTAACTATCAGAGCTGGTGGATGGAGGTTTCATGTTAGCACACGCAGACAAGTGGGGCTGGCAGCACTTCGTGTTGGGAAATGCAAGGAGATGCTTCTGGAAGGGTCTGGGCCAACAGAAAAGTCAGTGGAAGACTTTCTGTGTGTGAGACCAATGCTTTGGTGGGCATTCGAGCATCTGATATTTGCCTGCTGCTGAGCAAGGGAGCTGTTTGTGGGGATTTGGGAAGCTCACCTGGGCATTAGGGCTATTTAGGGCGTTCTCATGGGAAAGGGTTCATTGGAGTATTAAGTATGAAGTGCAGGAATGATGGCTGTGTGACACAGCAGAGCAGCTCCTTACTGTGAGTGACATAAAAGCTTAATTCTTGCTTTGGAGATAACTGGTGGTTTCCATGCTGTGCTGTTTGGTTGGGTTCCCAAGATTCCAGCAGCCAGCGCTGCCAGGCCAGAGGGAACTGATGTGTCTGGGAAGGAAAACAAAGCTGACACTTACACACAGCACTGGGAGAGCGGAGCCAGGATGGAGATTTCATCGTGAGAATGGCGCCCAAACCTGGGGGAAGGAGAGAGCATGGAGTATTATCACCTGCCCATGGCCTGCCCACATCCCCTCAGCCTCCCAGCCTCACCCCCTGGCGTTGTCCAGGTGTAGGAGGAAGCCATCGTCTCCAAACTTGGTGAACATCTCATAGTGGTGACGGTCCATGTTCCCTGGTAAAGGAGGAACAGAGCAGCCGTTTCCCTTGCAAGTGCCTGAGTAATTTTCAGACCTATCCCATGTTTTCTTTCCCATCAGCACGAAATGCTTTAATTGTACCTATTAGGAAGTCAAATATGGCCATGTCAACGATGTTAAGCAGCCGGTTGCCACTGCTGTAGGGGTAGATCTCCCTCACGGTGTCACAGTAGAGCGGATTCACCTCCCACCTGCAGGACACCAGGGGAGGGGGCACACAATCCACTCACAGTCTGTATCCCACTTGTTCTCCTTCCCGCACGCTCCCTGTAAGGCATATATATGAAGCAGCAGCATTTACCCACTTACTCCTCTTTTCCATCAAACGAGTAGGAGCGGATCCACGGGTTTGGGATGGAGAGCCGCGGCGCCAGGTTGAGGGATGGAAGGAAAGCAGACAGGGATCCTTCCAGGAGGTGAGGATTCCCACACACTGCGTACTCTGTCTTGCACATGTACGGGCACTTGGCAAAGAAGCACACATTGCTGGCTGGAGGAGAACAGAGAGAACTGGGGAAAGAAGCTATGGGGTGTGGAGCTTGGACTGACCCCTGTCTCA